CCCTGCAGCAAACTTCCGCGGGAGTTGGTGTTCCCGGGCTGCAGCGTCAGCCCTGCCCTGTGGCCCGAGTCGCTTCTGCGCCGTGACTCGGTTTCTCCCGGCACGGTGTTGCTGAGCTCTGCCGGGGCTGTGTGAGGCCCCAGCACTTCCTGGGTGGTTTGTTGGCTCTTTTTCCAGCTGCGGCGCCCTGGAGGGGTGTGTTTAATCCCCCCCACTCTTGCAAGATGAAGGCTGGGAGCTTCCTCCCCCTCTGCGCTGCAAGGGAAGTGAGAGGATCTTGCAGTTATCGGGGTCTCCCCCACCCAGGATTTTGGCTCTTGTGTTTACGTGTCCCCATCTGCAGCACCCTGGGGTGCAGCAGCTGTGGAGTGGGTGTCGCTGGGGGTTTCCCACTGGTAGGTACTGGGTGGGGGGCCCACAGGGGAAGGAAATGCCACCGTCCCCTCCCCTGGGGAGGATGCTGTGCCGCCCATCCCGAGGCAGCACGCTCCGGCGAAGGAAGCGGATGCTGCGGTGGAAGGAGGTGCTGGCGAGGAGGTAATATCCCGTGGGCGATGTGGGTGCCTGCTCAGGGGAGCCCCGGTGAGGGACAATGACTGGTCTCAGCACCCAGAGCCTGGGGGAGGGAGCAGGGAGAGGTGGACGCTGGCGGTACTGGGGGAAGAGGGACAGATCCTGCTCCCTCGCTGCACCGGGGCCAGCGCAGGATGCTGTGAGTGGAGCTTGTTCCTGTCCAGGGTGTTTCGGGTTGGCCTTATCCTCCCCGCCTTGCTTCTGCCGCCCTCCCCTGCTCGGGGCACGGCCCCTTTTCGGGGTGCGGGTGAAGGTCCCACACCGTGACCTTCGCTGCCCGCTGTAACGGCTGCGGTCCTGCGCCTCCTCCCTGGGCTGCGAGCGAGCGCTGGGGGAAGCGCTTGGTCCCGAGGGTCAAAATCCTCCCTCAGGAACCAGCCCTGGCCCTCGGGAGCGTGTGGTTTGCCACTGAGTCACCATCTTGGCTCCTTCCACCTATCTCTCGCCCGCCGAGGCGATAACACCCGGTATCTTGATGGGTGTCCTCTGCGGGTGCCCCCCTCTCGGGGCGCAGCAGCCAGCCGGTGCGGGAGGGGTTAAACTGTGGCCGGTGAGCGGGGAAGGCTTGTCATGGGTGTTGCTGGGAAGAGGCAAGTGAGCCCGTTGCCATCTGCACATTGCGATTTGGTGAGTGTGCAAGGGAGGGGCCCCGATCCCCAGCCCTGGGTGCTGTGACACACCCCCCCCCAGGCTTCATGGGGAGAGGTGGGGGCTCTGCTGCAGTGCAGGGTGAGAGGTGGAGGACTTGGGGGTCTGGAGGGGGGGTTAGGGTGGTGCTGTCCTTGTTCAAAATCCACCAGGCAGCAGAGTTGTCGTGGCCTGGGGAACCCTTCTTGTTCCACGTTGCCCTGGGCATGTCACTTTGCCCTGATTGTGCCTCCACCCTGGGAGATGGACCCGGCTCAGCCCCGGCAGGCACTGGGGTGGGGACTTGCACCCTCCCTGAGTGTCCCCCCCCACCACCTGGCAAGAGCAGCGTCTGCCCAAGGCTCTTGTCTCTGTTGAAACCTGACAGGGTGTGTTGTGCAAAGGTCCCAGTGCAGGGAACCCCGTGTGCTCCCCGGTGTCTCTGGGCACGTTTGCGCCTCCCCCGCTGCGAGGGGCTGCCCAGCGGGGTTCCTTCCCTCCCAAAACACCCTCCGGAGCTTAACATGTCACTGCCGGTGATTTTTCTCAGCAGATGCATTCTTTCCGGCTCCCTCTCCCATTAGAGCATCGCTCCCATGTGGGACCACAGCTCCCAGCAGCGGGTGCTGAGTGGCGGCGGGGTCCGTGCAGTGGGATGGCGCTGGGAGAGCTGCACGGTCTCCACAGGGACAGTTCTCAGCAAGTGGATGGTGCTTCAGGCCCAATTTTCCGCTTTAAGTGGCTGCTTTGGCTTTTGGAGCCCGTGCGTCCGCCTGGAGCCTCCGTCTGTCCGTGTGGCTGCGCTCCGGGGCTCGGCTCAGCCTCTCCGCTGGGGATGGAGCTCAGCTTTTAATTTCTAGAAAGAAAAATCTTAAACCGAGGCCAAGAAGGGTAATTGGGGGGGGGGGGGG